ACCACCCAATCCAACTCGGCTGCCCGAGGGAGGCGTTTGTGCCTGTATCACAACGATTGCCAAGATGTACATGGCGGAAAACGGCCCGACGCCTCCTTTGCCTGCATACGGAGCAAAAAAAGACACGCAATTGGTGCTCATATCGATGGGAAAATGACAACAGGCATGGGAATTGTGGAAAATGAAAAGGGACGGACGGGAGCAAAGGAAGATGGAGGGCTGGCACCAACGTTCCGGAAGCCCAGGAAGCCATCTGGATGGATCCTTGGGTACAACAACCTGGACGGTTGCATGAAGCGAGGCAGCGGGCGGGCGCTGCGCACAGACTCCCACCATCATGAAAGCACGTTGCGACGGCATGCCTTAGTGCTGAATGCTTCCGGTTCTCGGGGCGTGGCTTTCAGGGTCGTCCTTCCATTCCTTCTGTGCTGGGCAACCGCCACTCATCCATCCATCCGTATCTCATGCTTTGCCGCAGCCTGAGAGGAACCCATCTGAGACCTCGAGATGCAGTACAGCGCTGACGTCGTTGAGCCGCATCCGTGAGCGTATCTTATCTCGTTATCAGTGTCGACATGTGATTCTAGGTATGTATCAGTGACGGAGCTTCACCGGCACTTCAGAGGACCGTGGCCTGCCATCAGGGTCCTGACTGGTTGTGGGTTTGTTGGGTTGCAGGGAACGATCTTGGTGACCTGGATCAATACGGTGCTCTCTGCATCCAACGTCAAAGCAAGAGTCAAAAAGCGTCCGAAGCGAAGAGGGGAGCAAGAGGAGGGTGGTCCGCTGCGGTTACGGGTTACGGGGCATTTTCGCCGGAGATCCAGGAAGAAGCCGGCTGTTGGGCATCGGTTTGCTTGCGTGGCGCATCGAGGCCAAGCCAAGACTTGAGTCGTTGCATAGCGCTTAGAGTTGATGTTACGAGATTGTTCGAGCGAGCAGCGGAATAACGAGGCCCGGCCATCGGCTCCGACATCTGGACGCGCCTGTAACGACAGGAGAGAATTTTCAATACCGGACAGAGGCATACACTAAGGTTGGACGCTTGGACCAGATTAACGTGGATCCAAAGAAGAAAAAAAAAAGATGGCACGGACCACTATCGGTGAACACATCCAATCACAAGCTTCAATTCGCTAGCTGCTTGCAGAATCCAGCCCGTCAGCTTCTCCGCCAGGCCCAGGTTCCAGGTTCCCCAGCCAAGCATCCACCACAAGATACCAGGCCGTATCCCCATCAAAAACTATTGCGGTTCCGTCTAGGGATGGCTTCATTTCACTTCCACTACGGGACAGCTTGTCCTACTGATCACCATGCCGACAGCCCGACAACCGTTTCGCGATGGTCCGGTCAGAAGCACAAGAGTACATTTGTCCAACGTCACGCGACACGTCTGAGGAGTTGTTGGTCCGGCCGGATTGGACTGGACGTGACTCAGATCAGCGAAGCAAACGTCGTTTCCATTACATCGCATTCATTCCTCGAGACGATAAGGACCAGGGAGGCTCTCAAGGAACCAACGGCACACGCCTGCCACTGAAACCAATTTTCTCACAACTGCTCTGCTACATACACATCCTATCCTGTCAACCAACTCCCCGAACTGAACACGCACAGCGATCAACACGCCAAAACGTCTGGGCCCCGCCAGAGCTGGCTGTCGGCGTGGAGCTTGCCCTGTCTCACTCCCGCCCGTCACCCTGGCCGCACCCGGGGTGTCGTCGAACCTTCTCTTGCATCTCTCTCTCGGCTTTCTCCCTCTGGCCCTTGCTTGGACCTGACGCAGGCAGTATGCACCTTGGAAGAAACAGCCTGCTCGGTTTTGCTCATGGCCCCACATGCATGCTGCAAACGATGGAAGCCTCCATGTTACCTTGGGCTTGTCTGAACGGGCCTTATCGGTCGCTTCTTCCTGAGCTTGAACTGACAGGCGGCGGTCTCGGTCTCCACCAAGGAGCCTTCGCCGCACTTACACGGCTCCTCCTGGCCATGGATGGTTCAAATATCTGCTCTCCCACCCTCTTCTCCGTGACTGTCTCATTGTGCTGCACACTGCTCGCTCACTTCCAAAGCAGTCTCCGTCTTCGCCTTCCTTCCAGTCGTCTTTCCTAGGCTGTGATTGCTCCAAGTTCTGCTGATTTCTTGTGAAACTCGCTCCTCGCTCTCCCAAACGAAATCTGCCTCCTGGTTACTACGAGAAACACCACGACAAGTCCACGTTCCTGCCGCGCATCAACCAGTACATCCTCGTTCGAACCAAAGCTTTGCTCTTCATTGTTACATATATCGTCTGCTTGACGATTGGCCTTGAATATCACGGGATCCTTGTGTTTGCCATTGTTTGGCATTGTTGCTCCTTGTCTGCTTCCCGGTTGAGTCAGCAGCCATGGGTGTCTTCCAGCTGACCGGTTCTCGCGATCCGGATGCATTCCCTGCCATGCAACTCTTTCTTCTCGGTGAGTTGATTGCTCTTATCCTGGGTTTCTCAAACTTGCGAGAGAGTTTCTAACAGTTACTGTCTAGCAATTGTCCGATTGGCAGAACCTATTGCCTTGACATCCATCTTTCCCTATGCCTGGGCTCTTGTCAAGGACTTTCAGATTGGCGACGAAGCCCACGCCTCGGTCTACTCAGGAATCCTCATCTCAGCCTTCTCTCTCGCTGAAGCTGCCATGGGAATGTACTGGGGTGCTCTCTCTGACCGGATAGGGCGCAAGCCTGTGCTTATCATCGGGTCTGGGGGTACTATCATTTCGATGTTGACCGTAGGACTCGCGTCAAACTTCTGGGTTGCTCTGTTTGGACGGTGCCTGGGTGGTCTGCTCAACGGGTGCGTTGCCTTTTAAAGCCATTGAGAGCGCAAACTGACGTGAAACTAGTAACATTGGCGTTATCCAAACAATGGTAGGCGAGCTTATTACAAAGCGAGAGCATGAGCGTAAGTTTACTCCCCGTCATGACATTGTCTCTGAGGCCGTGAAATCGATGAGAGCAAAGATGTGGTGTTTTCAGCCTGAAACCCCACGTGAGCTTAGGAGTCACATAAGATGCCTCTTTCACGCACGAGTCTCGCATGGACTAACAGTAATGATACAGCTCGCGCATTCTCCATTATGCCCTTCGTATGGAGTATCGGTACTATCATCGGTCCTTCGATAGGAGGACTGTTTGCGAACCCCCACCAATCGTGGCCCGAGACGTTTCCCACCGGCAGCCTGTTCCAGCGATTCCCATACCTGCTCCCCAACCTCATCTGCTCCGGACTGCTTCTCGTGAGCATCGTGCTAGGTTTCTTCCTTCTTGTGGAAACCCACCCTGATATGCAGCCCAAGCCCGTCCAGTCTGCTGAGCCTGAATACGATGCCACAGAGGAGACTGCTCTGATTCCTACTACGGATGCCCAGCCCGAGACATATGGTGCTATCGAGACCCCCGGCGAAGATTGGGACCCTCTGCTTGTCGAGGACGAGAAGGAGGTGCCCGTGACCTCTTTCAAGGTCTGGAACCGTCGTGTTGTTGGCTTCATCGTCGCCTTGTCCATCTTCACCTACCACTCCATGACGTTTGATCATCTCTTGCCCATCTTTTTCGAAGAGAAGCGCGCAGTTGCCATCGAAATGCTCCACTCTGCCTCCATCTTCCCATTCTACTCTCCCGGCGGCCTGGGACTGACTCTTCGCAACGTGGGCATGATCTTGGCTGTGGATGGCGGCATCGCCCTGTGCATCCAGGTCTTCATCTTTCCCTGGGCAGCCAACAAGTTTGGCACCTACCGGCTCTTCATTTTTGTCACCATTCTTCACCCCATCGCCTATATGCTGATGCCGATGCTTCTTCTCGTCCCCGAGGCCCTCATCTTCCCTGCCATCTACTGTTGCCTCATCGTCCGCAACATTCTCTCCATCATCCTCTACCCCCTTCTCATGATCCTCATCAAGGAGGCCACTCCCACTCCCAGCGCCCTTGGTAAGGTCAACGGACTTGCTGCTAGTGCCGGTGCAGCCTGCCGAATGATTGCCCCTCCCATCGCTGGCTACCTCTGGAGTTTGGGCAGCAAGTTTGATTGCTCTGCCCTAGCCTGGTACGGAAGTGCCATTGCCGCTGTTTTCGGAGCCATCCAGTGTTTCTATGTTCCCCGCCAGAAGAACGAGGAGCCTACTGAAGAGACTCCCTCTGTGCCTCACAAACAGAACACGACTGTCACTGTTACCGAGGTTGAGTTTTACGACTCGGAGTGAAGAGCAGATGATGATTGCTCGTAATTTGACTGATTTGAGGGTCGACATGAACCGATGACACACACTTACACCAACTCCGAGATTGCTCAACTTACGCAAGCAAGTATTGTTTTTGCCTTTTTTTTTCTCTTTTTAAGCGACACGCAAGGCGTCATGGTTTTCGGTTTTCTTTCAAGCCTCAAAAAGCAAAAAAGCTCTAGACGGTCAGGTTTATTTTGTTTCCCCTTTTTATCGGATATCCCCTGGGTCAGGTTTGGTAGCGTTGTGTTTGGGCGGGATGGATATGTGGGCGTTTTGAGATGGACTATAAAAAAAGTATTTCGACATTCAGATGTCTTGGGGTTTAGAAAAAGAGCGGGAATTAGAAAAGGGTATTATTTATGACGGTTTACTTGGGTTGTTTTAGGAATAGAGATCAATATCAAGAGTTAATAACTTGTCGCGGCCCAAATCTTATCGTGAGTGGTTAGTAGGAGCAAGACAACCCCAAGTGTCTCGAGTTAAAGTGTCTAAATTACACCCTTGAAATGGTTCTGGTTCTTTCAGAAACTAGTTAAACCTTGGGAACGAGTTTGCTAACTAATATAAAGTGTAGACTATTTCATCTGGTCTGGAGTTGCGATATTTCGGTCAATGCCCAATAAGATTTTCGCCACCCACAGAAAGTTGGAGAAGGCTCATCAATTTTTAGCACCATCAACGACACGAACAAATAACCAAGGAGAAGGAAGACAAAACATTCGCATCACAAACACACACAAAATGAAGATTGAGGAAATCACGGAAAAGATGGACGAGTCCCTCAAGGTCTCGGAGCCCACGCCAGCCTCCGAGGCCACCAAACCTCAGCTCCCGCCCGCACACACCATCGCCAGCGGCAAGACGGTTGATGAGGTGTGGGAGGATCTCAACAAGTCGCCGCTGTTCATGACGGACTTGGACGCCGCTGAGGGAGAGAATGACGATATTGCTGCGCTGCAGGCTCTTGCGTATGAGGGTACGCCGCTGGAGAACGGTGTCGACTTCAAGGAGCGTGGCAATGAGTGCTTCAAGATACGAGGGTACGTCGACGCAAAGGAGTTTTACGGAAAGGGTATTGCTATTCTCGCCGGAGAGGAGCGAAAGCGCGCAAGAGGAGAGGTTACCAAGAACCCTGACGGGGAGGAGGACTCGGAGGAGGAGATCGCCAAGCAGAAGAGCACTCTCGAGACACTCTACGTCAACCGCGCAGCATGCCACCTCGCAGTCAAGAACTACCGCAGCTGCTGGCTCGACTGCGCTGCCGCTCTACGCCTCAACCCTCGCAACCTCAAGGCCTACTACCGCAGTGCCCGCGCCCTTCTTGCCGTGGACCGCATCGAAGAGGCAGACGATGTATGCGCCCGTGGTCTCTCCCTCGACGAGTCCAACGCTTCTCTCCGCGGTGTAGCTGACGACATCATCAAGCGCGCCAAAGAGATTGATGCCCGTCGCAAGAAGGAAGCCGAGCGCGTCGCAAAGGAGAAGCGCCGCGAGATGCTCGTCAAGGCTGCTCTCCGAGCCCGCAACATCCCGACACGCACGACTTCGCAGCCGCCCGAGATGGAAGACGCGGGGATAGCGTTGGTTCCTGACCCGGATGATCCTCGCAGCGCGCTGGCGTTCCCGACCGTGTTTCTGTACCCGCTAGACCTCGAGTCGGACTTTGTCAAGGCGTTTGAGGAGACGCACACGCTGGAGGACCATCTAGGCTATGTCTTCCCTCTGCCGTGGGATAAGGAAGGCAAGTACACGCTGGCCAACGTCGAGGCCTTTGTCGAGACCCGGGAGGGAGGACTCTTAAAGATGGGCAAGAAGGTGTCGCTGCTGAAGCTTCTGGGAACGGGCAAGGTCGAGGTGGTGGACGAGGTTGTGAGGATCTTTGTCGTGCCCAAGGACAAGGCCGAGTCGTGGGTCAAGGAGCACAAGGCCAAGAGGGCAGCCGAGAAGGGTGAGGCGAGCTAGATCTGAACAGGTAGATTAAAAAGAAAAAGTACATGTGTTTATGACTTGAAGATCAACTACAAAAGAAGAGTTGCGATTGCTAATAATTAACCAGTCCATGTGTAAGTTTGTTATATGCATCTGCAGTATCCAAAGCATTCAAAGAACAAGAACCCAAACTTTTCCCCAAAAAACACCTGCCCGAGCTAGTCCATTCTATTCGCTATTTGGTCATATATCCCAAGCTTCCCATCACCATGATCGCCCTCTCAACGCCGACAAGTGTAAATCAGAGAGATGTGGCCCGCTGTCTCTTGCTTCGATGCTCATCCCTGAGCGCAGAGTCTCGGTGTACAGGTCTCAGCGAGCCCATAGCAGGAGACTCTTGATCTCGCTTGCACAGGTTGAGGAGCAGCATGGCGGCATCTTGCTGCGAGTTGTCGGTTCTAGGTTGTAGCTCAACCTTGTCTTCTCTCTGCCCGGCGGGGCTGCCCTCGGGGGTGGAGGCTGGAACTACAGAGCACATGCTCAGGTTGGGACTAGCACTGTCTCTGTAGCTGTAGTTGTAGTCCCAGTCCTCGTGTTCGAGTCGTCGCTTGGAGCCCCAGGACGAAGTGGAGAGGTTAGACCGGTGCAGTAAGGGTGGGATGCGTGGCACGGCACTGAGCCATGGATGAGGAGATGCGTAGTCTGGCTGTGGGCTCGGATGGTTGATAGGAGCCCAGCTCGAGTTTGGGCGTGATGCCACCATGTATGTAAGAGGTCCCGACCCGGTGCTCGACGCAGAGTTAGGGGCCGACATGAAGTGGTGGTCGCTCTCGTTTTCCGGCACCCACGGAGGGTTGCATACTATGCGCGACGGAAAGTGATGCTTGCGTTCTTCAGGGGCATACATGGTCTGATGGGCGTTGCCATCTCTAGGAAAGCTGGTAGCAGCGCCAAAGACAGGGGCAGCGGCGTTCAAATGCATGCGTCGAGCGATGTCGGCCTCGCGAGCGGCCTCGACAACAAGCTGCGAGTCGATGACCATCCGGCCAAACCCTTGCGAGTCGCGAGGGACGCAATCCGAAGGAAACGAAGGGCCAAAGATGGGGATGAGAGCTCCGGCGATCTCATAGCAGAATGTCGCGCAGACGGCTCTGGCGCACTGATACGGCATCCAGTAGCCTTCCACAAAAGAGTCAGCGCCATCAACACCTCCTCACCAGCGAGAAACATACCTTGAGCAGCTATGGAGCCACCTGTGATACTGTGCGTGATCTCCTTGAGACCCTGGTTGAGACCCAGCATCTTGGCTGGTATCGTCTAGATCTCGTTAGCCCATGCTGCGAAAGTGTTGTGGCATCAGGATGCTGACCTTTCCATATCGACAACACTTGAAAAAGGGAGTCATGCGCACAAGGCCGACGTTGTAATCCCACATCACAGCGTACTCGGTGTCCTGACCAGGGAGGGTGAATTCGTATCGAAAGACTGTGATCGTTAGCAGCCAACATCAATGCCCATCTCGAGTAACATACCTTCGAAGCTCTCTCGTCCCGTCTTCTCAAAGAAGTCCTTCTTGCCGCTGTTGTAAGGGATGTGAAGGCAATTCTGTTGGATGCTCCCGAGGGGCTTGACTCTGAACTTGCGCATCTCCCGGAGAGACAGCTCGTCGAGGTTGTTCTCGAAAGGGGGATAGTTGACCTGGCCTCGCAGCTTCGACTTGGCCAGGCCACCAGAGTCCTTGGACACTCGGGCAGGAGGCATTATCGAACGATTCAGCGCCGAGTTCGAGGTGTCCGTGGCAGCAGAAAACGTCGGGGACGGGGGCGTAGGACTTGGACGGAAGGAAAGGGGGCCATCCTGGCCGGGAGGGGCTGGGTTGAGGAGAGTCTTGAGTGAGAGCATAATGGAAGCCAGTCAAGTTTGTCAGATTTCCCAGAAGCCGCGATTCGAGAGGTAAACAGGATGTCCGCGGCATGCAAGAGACAAGGGACTGGTCGTAGAAGGGTGGATGAACCCGGGTGGTTTGGAGGGTACGGCGGGCAGCGGCCGTGATATACCTACTTCCGGTCTGCAGGGAAGGACAGACAAGTCGCAACGCAACAACTAGTGGAAACTCCTCGCCCTCAAGTCACTCCTCAGCTTGACAAACACGCGCCGCCGAGAGAGAGAGCGTAGTCTCGCGCCTGACAGACACACCTAGCTTGCTGCGCTGAGATGACGATGAACAAGGAACCCTGGGTCGGTCAGGCTCAGCAACTCAGGGCGCCTGCGTGAAGGGCATCTGCAACTTCAAAAAGTCGGTCACGGCTCCGTTCCCCGGTCAAGATTTCTTTGTTCTGGACGTGAGGCTCAACCTCTCAGGGGAGAGGGCTCCGTTTACCAACTTCCACCGCCTTGTCTACTAGGCAAAGCCACCAAGTGATAGATGACGAGGCCGTCAAAGGGGGGGGGCAAGGCGACGCCGAGTGACTGAAAGAGAGAGAGAGGGCTCAGGTTGGAGCCTTGGGGACAAAAGCAATGACGAGGGCTTAGGCCTGTTGGTTTGATGGCCAAAGACGCGGTCTGTCCCACTGCTGAGGTTTCTCCCAGTCGCTTCCGAGAGCTGCGCGTGAATCCCCAGAGTCCCGCTTTATTATCAAACAGCTGGAGCTCCCCCCATATGCTTCCAGGCCGTCTTCTCCGCATAAACATCAGAGACCAGAGAAACTGCGGCAGGGGGTGCAGAACTGGGGGTGGTTGGCTCAGCCCTCACGCCCTGCTATTCGTTACACTCCCGCAATGTATCTCTGGAGCCGAACCTCGCAGAGGGACGTCCGGCCGTCCTGAACACCGTGCCGTCTCAGTAGGCCATCTCGACATCTCGCCTCCCTCCCAACACGGACGTGATGCCCAGGGAGTCGGCGGGAACAGCAAATAAAGCCCAGAAGCGCAAATATGGGTGACCCCAGACCGCAAACTAGCTGTTTCGCCCTGTTTGAGCCCGCCCCACGAGGTTTTGGCAAAACTGAAGCGCCGACGGCTGCCTGCATACCACATCGTCCAGGACCCTCTACCCCAGTCCGTTTTCTGAAGCCTGTGCAACAAAGAATGACGGTCCTGCTGCCACTGAGAAGCCCGCCTTAATCTCAACACTCCCCCCGACCTTGCTCGAGTCGCCCCACGTGTCCGTATGACAACTGACAGCTACGAAGGGCACTTCTTTGCTGAGACAGGCTGGTGATTGACGTTGCCGAAGACCCTATCAGATCATTCTCCCACCGCAGCCAGTCGCAGCATGACTTGGCTCCGGTTTGTTATGACGGGACCGCCGCTCCCCAACAGGTTGCCGCCCCCTGTGCAAAAGGGCTGTGCATAGCCGTTGCATCCTACACCGGTAGTCTTTTGTCTGGTGAGGTTCGATGAGTCTTCCAGAAGTCGGTTTGCTAGCTTCTCCCTGAGGAGCTCCCTGGGAGAGACTGAAAGGAGGCCTGTCATGTTGCCGGCCCTTGATACCCACACGAGCTGTTAGGAGTACAGGCACAAGAAAAATGTCCGAGGGAACACAAGTCCATGCCCGATACGCCCGCCCCTCAGCTCCTGGGGATTGCTAGGCCCGCGCGGCCAAGTCAGTAGGTCTATGGTGCCCAAGGTCGCCATGTTGCATACTTCTTGGGCAATCATCTCGCCGAGCCGCCCTCTGTTGCGAGCTGCTGCAGTAGGCTGCATCATCAGTCATGAAGGCGTCAGGTAGGGTCTGCCCAGCAAGGAGTTTTTGGTCACCCCAATTGCCTCGATCAGTTCGCAATGGCATCCAGCTCGAGCGCCATCGTTCGAGTCAGTGACCCCTGGCAGAAATGTCAATACTGGCTCTGGCGAAATGGATCATATCTGATGCGACCAACCGACGGCTCGGGCAGCGACACAGTTCCGGGTTCGGCCTCTTGCCCTTCATCCAAGCTTCTTGCTCGATTGGTGATGGTGCAATTCAACCGCAGCCACCAGCACGCCCAGAGGCGCCAGGAAAGGGAAGAAGCAGCGGCAACGGCTGACAAGGATGTGTCCCGATAGAACACCGTCGCGGTGTGCAGATTTGGGCTAATTTGGCACTGTCTGTCTGGTTAGTCACAGTTAGTTTGTTGCCGCAGATGAGCTCCCCTCCAGATGATAGAGACCCGTCATGTTTGATCATCTGGTGAGCTCATCGGGCCGAGCTGTACACGGATTCGGCAACAACTGCTTCCACACCTCGGGACCTGGATGTGAGCAGAAGCTTCTGAGTCTCAAGGCATAGTTTCAGATGATTGTACACGATATCGATGTGGGACAGCGGGAGGCCAAGGCGAGGAACTGTCACTGCTCTCACGCGAGGTGCGACTGGAGGCGCCCACCGGCTCCCTGCATCGAATTCGGAGCATTCTGCCATTTTTCTTTCGTAGTAGGTGCTGTGGTGCTGTGAGAGTACATTGCATGTGCCGCCGTGTCCGTACGTGCTGCGTTGGACAGCTCCTTTAGGACAAAGTGGTAGGGAGGTAGAAGTCCTGGTTTCAAAAGTGGCGATTTGCAAGACCATGGCCAAATCTACTTGCAGGTAATATGCAAAACCCGAGTCTTTTGGTATCAGGTGTGTCACGAGAGGTTTGCAGAACAGGCACGTCGCTGTCGAGACTTTGGACGCTTCGAGGAACGACGAGTTGGACGACTAGGTGCGTAGAGTGATCGACGACCTAGACCCGCACTTTAGTACCACACAGAGGGAAATGAAGCTTAACGGGTACATGATGTAGAGGACGCGCCCTGCACAACGGCTGACCAAGTCAGACTGGCCTCAGGGCGACGGCCGGACCTCGTTCAGTCCCACGGGGTGATACGGCCAGCCTCAGCCAAGCTAATCTCGAAGACGGTGGAACCAGGAGAATTAGCAAGGAATGGCGTCTCGATCCAGGCAACACACGCCTCGTTGGGGAGGGCGACAGTACAGTGAGGGAGGGTTGTACATCCAGACTCGGCCCGCTCATCCAAGACGAGACCGGTGCATGTCTGACTTCGAGCTTGAC